AAACCAAGAATTTTTATTTTTAAAGATATGAGACCTGATTACAAAAAAAATGAATTTTTAAAAACATATTGTACCCAAAGGAAGATATTACAACTTGAGATTGATACTTTAAAGTCTAAAACTTGGCACCACAAAGAAAGAACCAATGTGATGTCACAAGTAGAAAATTTTCCACTTGACATGTGACAGATCTCAGTCAAAATGTCTAAAATTATTGTACAGAATTATCTTAAAGTATCTTTAATTTTTTAATTTCAGATAAGGATATCCAACCTGTACGGTTTGCTTCTGTTATGAACAAAATGCTCATGTCCCCTGAAAATCCAGACACTAATGCTTTACCCAAGTTATGGCATTTGAAGATTGCTCATTTGGAGGTAATTATGGTTTAATAAAATCATGAGGGCAAGATTTTCATAATTATTTTAGAAGAGATTCCAGAATCTCAATCTTTCTTGAAAGGCTATGTGAGGACAAAGCAAGAAAGCAGCCACCTGCAACTTCATTAGAACCCAGACACACGGCACCCTGCCATCAGGCTTCACAACCTCCGAACTATGAGAAAACACAATTCTGTTATTTAAATCACACAGGTCATGGTATTTTGCTACAGCAGCCCAAATATACTAAAACAGCTTTAAAAAGAACATGGTGAATGAAACTGTCTTCAGGAAGTTAGGAAAAAGCTATAGTATAATTCTAAATTCTTCCGTTGCATATAAATCAAGTATCATTCAAATTGCAAATGAGAAAAATCATCCATTACACATCCAACAGGCTCTAAAACATACAGAAGGAATGTGAAGGGGAAATGCAATATATTTTGACCGACTATACCAGGCAGAAGAAGCTTAGTAAGTCAATACAAAACAGACACTTGGTTTCCTTTTCAAAGGAGCAGTAAATCTCTCTCACAAAGTAGCTCTAAAAATGCCTAAGTTTAAAATAATGTTTGAATTAGGTACTCAGATAAAAAATATTTTACCCCAAGAAAAGATAACCTATACAGTCAAAATCTTGAGGAAGGTTTATAGTAAGAACCTACAGTAAAGCCGAAGAATTTTCTGTTGCTATGATTCTTTGCTGTCACATCCTTGTATTTCCAATCTCTCCTTGACCCTCTGGAGTGTCTTCTGACCCCGTCACCTGCACACAGCTCACAGTCCATCTCTACAGGTCACAAAACACTTGTAATGCCAAAGACATTTGCACTAGCAGGTTAACACTCACCTGGTCACCTCACCTCTAAGGAGGGCTTTTTGAGGACTGGAGGCTCACTTCCTTCCAAACAAGGTATTTTAAGGTTCCCAAAGAACCGCACAACGAGGCCACACCTTGCTAACCAACTACCACTTAAAATTTTTTTTCTATTACTATCAAGTTAATGGCATGTTGCAACTAGTATAATACCCTATCACCGGTTTAAAAAAAAATATTCTACATACACACCACATGTGTGGGATAATGGTGAGGGAGATGAAATACAGCACTGCAAAGACCACTGGAAAGAATGGGGCTATCAGGATAACAATTATGTTCTTTGGACACAGTAAACTAGAGAAAGCTCTTCACATATAATGGGAAGACAGAGTCTCAAGGAAGCTGTTTCTCATTAGCAGTCAAAATACTTTGGAGAGTAGCATAAACTTGACATGTCACAGAAGAGGCCAAGTAAAATACATCTACATATGTAACACAGAAATATTAAAAAAACTAGCTTAGAACCAAATACTGAGGCTTCATAGTATCACTGAGTGTCTGATATTATAGGCTCAAATGCAAGCAAATACAAACTGTCAACTCTTTTAAAGAGACAGTTCCATATTTTCTTCCCCTCTCATATATATTAAGATAGGGAAAACCTGCACCTGGCTACACTTCTCAATAACTTTTGGCTCTATCACAAAAGGGCTTGTTTTGTGTTTTGTTTTTTTGAGGAAAAATTTGTAATTTCTTTAAAAGAAGTAACAGGGTTTTTTTTTTAAGAGAAAAAAGGTAAACAATGAAATTGAGTTTCAAAACAGGTTAGTAGGACAGTTAAAACAGTTGATACAGGGGCTGGAGAGATAGCTCAGTGGCATAAGCACCTGCCTGAAAAACACAAGGTCCTGAGTTCAATCCCAGGTACAAAAAAACGAAACAAGACCCAGTTGATACACTGCAAATTGTTGTCTTCCTCTTAAGATATAGGCATGATATCTTGTCTTAAGCAATGTTAGCACAACACATTCTTTTCAAAGAACTAAGAGAAGCTAGCTGTGTATCTTAACTATCTTGCATATACAACTTCTTTTCCCCTTTCTGTAACAGCAGAAAGAGGAAAGGAAGAAGTAACAATCTTGCAGAGATTATTTTAAAAGTCTTTCTTCAAAAAAAAAAGTCTTTCTTCCAGATAATGCCTTTCCTATTCACTTTTCTCAAGAAACTAATTAAATGCCAGAAGAACAGAGGTGTGTAGGTAAAACTGCAAAGAAAAAGGAAAAATCTCCTTGATTTTCACAAACATGGGTTTACTGTATCTTTGAAAGATAGGCCACAGTCTAGAAATAGTAACATCTCGATCACCTATTGGACAGGTTGACCAAGTAGAGTTAACTTGTTCTTTATGGAGATTATTTCTTAAAGATATCATTTTGAAATATTCCTAATCAGAAAAAGTTACAAGAAAATTTCTAAAGGCACAGATCAATTCTTCAAGAATGAAAATAAAACCTTTTTTTGCTATTATACATTCTACAACAATGACTTTTCCAGGTAATGAAGCAATAAAAAAGAAACAAGCTTTTCTAAGGGCTGCCGCCTGGAGTCTCAGCCATCTCTTGCAGAAGGTTCTAGAGGCCAGCCGGCACTGCGCTCCTGAGACCTTTGCCTCTCCCTAAAGAATAAAAGAGATCATATGATGACAGCTGTGTCCAAACCCCAGGACTTGGAGATTTTGGATGATGTGGAGATGCCCTTCGGTGAGAAGGAACAGGCCAGCCTCACGTCTGTGGGGAATGGAAGTGATGGTGGAGAACTACAAGACCGTGGGTTCCCTGGCTGCAGCATCCATAGACAGACCTGACGCGAACCTGGCACTGGAGGGAGAGGGACGTCCTCACCCAATGGGGCTGGGAGGTTGGTCTTGCTGAGTACATCACAAAACTAAGAAGATATACTCGCCTAATTTACAGACATTTCATCCAATAGGATGCAAAGATTTCTGGAAATCCTCAGTGCTGAGCAGACAAGAGAAAAGTTAATTGTTGACCTTTTCTAGTTTCCATGTAAAAAGTTAAGAGCCATCTTAAACTACGGCAACTGCGCTTTTTTTTCTGTAAATGCCTGGATTTCCACAGATTCTGTGTTCATTAAAGTTACAATTGTTCCTATTGTGCAAAGCAGGCTGCCGTGTTCTGTTTCACACAGCTTACGGAGATAAAGTCGTAAGCCGCCACAGTCCTCTCATTTAGCATATACAACTCAGTGCTGTTCAGTATTCATAAGAGTAGTGCAAAAATCACAGTCTACATTTAAGTCTTTTTTGTCACCTTGGAGAGAACCCTGTATCCAGGAGCAGTCACTCTACTTCCCCTTCGGGCCTGTCACTGTCAGGAAACAACTTGGCTAGTTGTATATCTAGGTTTACCTATTGTGGGCATTTGTTAACTTGGTCATACAACATGTGGTTTTTACAACTGGGTCTAACTTAGGATGCTTTCAAGATCCGTTTCATAATTTCAAGTGTCATTCCTTTTTATGAGAGTGTAATAGCTGTTGGGTGGGTCGTGGCACATTTTGAGGGCCGGGGAGATGGCTCAGTAGAATAAGCGTTTGACTGGCAAGCGCAAGGGTCTGAGTTCAATCCCCGGTTTCGCCAAAAAAAAATTAAAAATAAAAACGCATATTGGATATCCATGCATAGCTGATGGGTGCTTGGGTGGTGGTGTCCACTGTGTTAGCAGTACGGATAACGCTGCTGTGGACATTAGTGTAGGAGGCTTAGTGCAGACTTGCCTTCGGCCTTCATGGATGGGTATGGTAGGCATATTTATGCTGGGTAGGTTAGTAACTCTAGGCTAAATTTTTTTAAGGAATTCCAGGATTTATTTCTCCAAAGTGTCTAAAATCATATTCCCCTGGCACTGTGTAAGGTTCGCAAATTCTCCACATCGTCACTACCTACGGGTGTCTTTTATTATAGCTATGCTACTGGTAAAAAAAGATAGTCTATGGTTTCCATTTCCATTTCCCTCGAGGCTAATGATTGTGTGCATCTTTTCACGTGCTGTTCAGTACTGGTACGTAACTGAGACATCCGTTCACATGCCTTGCCCATTCCTAAATCGGTTCAGCTTTTAATTTGTGTTGTTAAGAGTTCTAGACTGAATCTTTACTAGCAAATATGTTGTTCCACTCTTAAGAATTGTCTTTTTCACTTTACTAGTGCTTTTTCAAGCACAAAAGCTGGATGTGTCTTAGGATTTTCTATGTACAAAATTGTATCCTCTACAAATAAGACAGTTTTGTTTCTTAAAAAAATATATATAAAAAACAAAAATTCTGAAGAACTGCTAACACATTTAAACTATGCTAGCACTATACTTAAGAGGAAAATATTTAATTACTTAAATTTCACATAATCCAAACTCTGCAAATGATCATGGGAAGAAGATGCCAACAATTCATAACCCATTCATGTTATCCAAAGGAACCTGACCCAAACGTGTTAGAAATAATCAGTTTCCTAACAAACAAAAAACAAGAGGAGACGAGTAATATGGCCTATTCTCAATCTACATTAGTTTCTAGCACCTTAAACTTCCATCATAGCCAAATTAAAACCCCAGGCTCCCTTTCCCTGCAGTGTATCACGCCATGCAGAGCAGACACAGAAAAGCTGCAGTTATTTAAAAAAGAAAGAAAGAAAGAAAAAGAAAAAGGAGGAGAGAAGAAAAGAGAAGAGGAGAGCATGAAGCAAGCTCCAAAGGTGCAAGGCTGATTAAGCTACTTTAGCTTACCATATATCTCGGATCTACTCTCCTCTGAACTAGACTTTGTCTTCTTGGAGGAGCTATCTGCACAAGAGCGGGAGAAAAGGAGAGATATAGAAAATATGGAGACCAATGTGAGGGAAAAAATTCATGGGGGAAAAAAGGAATGAATCATGATCAAGTTAAATCGTGCAAACATAAAGTATGAACATCACAGATGATAGCACTTAGAACAGTCATGAACAGTATAGGTAATGACACATTTTAAAGATTTACTGAAGAAAAGACAGTGTAATTAAAAAACACATGACTAGTCTGCAAAATTGACATCATCTGATAATTGTGATGGCAAAAAGACAAAGAGCCATAATAATCTCATCACGATGTACTGCATCTCTGCTAAATCTGGCTTTGGAGAGGGCATATCACAGATGAAGAATACAGAATATACCTAGTAAGACCATAATGCTTATGAACATAAGGCAGAAACTTCTACCTCATCAGGAAGACAATAATTATTCATGTAAATGAGAGCCTCTGAGCCCCATGACATCAAAACTAGGTGTTACAAATTGAGAATTCTTTCTTTGTGGACGCCCCTAAGTGACACATTACTACTCTCACCACAAAAGTCTCCTAAACTGATGACTGGGATTTTTTTTTCATACTTTTCATACTAAAAGTATGAAACATCCTAATTATAAATGTATATATTTAAATGTATAAGTCTATTAAATGTGTGAATTATTTCTAAGTAAAAATCTTTAAAAGGCATAGTATAAAGCATCATGTATTTATTTATTTTTTGGCAGAACCGGGGGTTGAACTCAGGCCCTTGCACTTGCTGGGCAAGCACTTATTCTACTGAGCCATCTCCCCGGCCCCAGCATCATGTTCAAATAACAAAACAAAAGTAAGCAATTTTTATAAATCAAACGTTGAATTTACAAGGAGAAGCTAAAGGAAAAGCATGTATTTTACTAAACAATTATATGCATAAAACTAAGAAGAATTAAGTCTGGTAATGTAAAAATTCTAAGAGAGATCAACACTGTGGAGGTTGAAAGATAGCTAAGTTCAGAATACTATTTGACTGAAAAAAGGGATCAATATTTGTTTAATAATTTTGAAGTTGTATTTTATCTAATACTTTAATTCACTATGATCACAACTTTTAAATTACCAAATAAGTATGCAGATGTTATATCATTGATTTCATGCATCATGAACCTATGCACCATCATGCATCTTCATTTGGGTCCTTGGGGTGACAGAAACTTAAATGATTTCTATTATTGTAATTACTTCCAAATATATCCTACAATGATGCTTCAGTGAAATCTATCTAGTGCTGAAAGTTTAAAATGTATGCATTCCTGCTGAATGCAAAGATCGGAAAGTGTATGAATAAAAGGGAGAAAAGACTACAGCAGATAAAACAACTCCTGATTGCTTCAGGGCACTTAAAGTGTACTATTCTGAACTTCATTATTCTCAATATTCAATGGAAGAACAGTGTTTACCTGAGGGGTCAAAATCATGGGATGCACTGCGCTCAACTTTCTGCTTCTTATCTGTTGGTGACTCTCGGTTCAAAATACTTCCATGCCTAAAGCAAAGTAACCAAATTAAAAACTTAATTTAAAAGTCTCAATAGTGTGTCATATGGAGGAAAACCAGGAAATCACTTTGCTATCATTATTTAGCATCATAAGCTTAATTTATATTTTGTAAAAAGGTTTAAAATTCAGTCTATGCAATGCATAATAGTTTGTTAGTTATAAAATATTTCAAATAATAATAGTGTTCATTAATAAAGTCTACATATGTCATAGAAATAATCCCATGAAATTATTTAGTTGGCTTTAACAGATCCATTGCTATCATTTCCATTTAACAAGAAAAGAATGCCTAAAAGGAATTAAAAGTATTCTCTAACTCTATGGATACTATGGCCAAGTTCAAAAATCACTGTATAAATGTGGGATGCATGAGAACAGTTTATAAAAATAAATCTCAGGCAAGTCTCATTTATACACACACACATACACACACACACATATACATATATATATATTTCTAGCCATAGAAATCTCAGCCACCCACGTTCAGGCTAAGATGAAAACACTATTATTTTTTTTCTATGATCTAGCCAATTATACTGATCAGATAATGGCTGAGAAACAAATAAGACCCTAACTACGATACATATACTCTTAATTCATTGAAGTGCCAAGGTTAGCTTAGCCTTGGTATCTTATATAATACTATCACTAAAAATGATAATACTATAAAAATTAAAAATAGCATACTACCTGAATTTTAAATAATATTTATGATAGTTAAGAAGAGATGTTAAAGCACAAGCACTGGAGAAGAGTCTTAGATGTCCCATCACAGGAAATACAGGCACAGAAACAAGTACAGACAGATGTGAACATTTGCCTTAAAAGTAATTAAGACTAAACCAATACCAAAGCTCATTAAACAGTTATTAGTAGCTCAAGTGATAAAACATACCAAAAACTAGCAATCCATTTTCACCTCTCAAGAAGCAAAATTCAAAACAGTCATAAACAGATTTTAAAATTAAATCTTCATGGGGAGTCACCTTAAGTATCAATTTGAACAAACTTTAAAACTGCTTATATTAAAAACATTAAAAATATTATCAAAATAATACTGCATTCCAGAAATAATATGCAACACCTGTTATACTTTAAATTTGTGAAGCATTATGAAATTTTGTACTACTTAAGCCCACGTTCTCAAAAACCACAAAAATTCCCGTAATTGTGAAGGAATGTTTCTAATTAAAAGTTAACCTAAACTTTAGTATGACAGGCAACTGAATAACTTACCTTATTGGTTTTTTGAGGGGAAACCTGAAACAAAGGGAAAAAAGATATTTGTAGTTATCCACTTTAAGATAAAAATATTTTAAATTATTTCTACTAAACCCAAGGAAAGGATTTAAATTTTCTGCTTTCCTAAAGCAAGATTCAATGAACAGGTAAAGTAATATGGACAGCTAAGTTAGGTAAAAACATGATGGGCAGACAAGGCGAGGCCCTCTGAGGAGTCAATACAAGAGATGAAAATACAACTATGGACAGGGGCACTTCTGCGGGGGGCCAGACCCCAAAGCAAAGACAAAATGACCAGCCCTCTGTGCCCCTCCAAGTGACAAACAATAAATTAACATCAGTCACCCAAATGAGTTACCAAGACCCCCGATTCATCTCTTCCTAAAAAGGTGCACGTTCTTTCCATGCACACTTGCTACATGACCTGCTTCCCCACTGGAACAATATTACATAAGCCGCTAAACTTGTAATCTTTTTTTTGGTCTTTATAACACAGGGTCTCATTATGCAGTTCGGGCTGGCTTTAAGTTCACATTGTAGCCCAGGCTGGTCTCAAACTCCCAAGATCCTCCTGCCTCTGCCTCTCACATGGTGGGATTTACAAGTGTGCACCACCACGCGCAGCTGTTAAACTTGTAATTTGATCGGTTTTGTCCCACACTGTACCCACCTCATGATTTTGCTCTATAAAACTTCCTTTGTGAAGCAACCTAGTTTTGGGGCTGCTACTGTCTCTCAGGAGCTCTATTCCTCTCAAGAAATATTTCCTACTCTTAATCTCTGTTGTTCCTTAGAATCCATTCTTTGATTTGGGGGAACACAAACTTGGCAAGCTGGGAGTTACATTTATTTTCCCTGTATCAGCAAAAAGTTGGACACCATGTTCAAGTTTCTTTACTTTGTCAAATCTCTAACTGCAGGTATATTACAAACCATCAGCTATCCCCAGAACAACTTTTTTTAGAAATACAAATAATGATAACCATTACATTTATTCAAGGTTTCCTAGAGTCCAACCATTAAACTTTTCAAATATACTATCTCAATCCATCTTCAACAAAATAACTTGATGGGGGCTGGAGAGATGGCTCAGTGGTCTAAAGCACCTACTTGGAACAAGCTGAGCAAAAGCATCAGGGACCGCGGTTCAATCCCCCAGCACCACATGCCAGCCAGCCCGCCCCCTGGTGGGCTGAGCTGGCC